GTCAGTGTGGCACCTCTCCTAGCTCGGCCAACCGCGAGCTGGGATGAGGAGCCCTGGATCCTTCACGTAGATGGCTCCTCGAACCAACAGGGCAGCGGTGCCGGAATAGTTCTGCACGGCCCAAGCGGCATGAAACTGAAATACGCGCTACGCTTCGAGTTCGAGGCATCCAACAATGAAGCAGAATACGAGGCGTTGATAGCCGGACTAGCCTTAGCCAAAGAAGTAAAAGCCAAGCACATCGTTATCTGCAGCGACTCCCAGGTCACGGGTGAATATGAAGCTCGCGAGCCGACCATGGTCGCCTACCTAGCCAAAGTCAGAGAGGCCCTGCTCAACTTCCAGTCACACTTCATCAGACAGATCCCTAGGTCGGAGAACGCCGAGGCCAATGCCCTGTCCAAGTTAGCCAGCACTAGCGACATCACCATGAGAACCGTGTACATAGAGGACATGTCTCGGCCTAGCATTCTCGGGGGGGCAGAGGAGGTCGCTCCCGTCGTTCAAGCAGAGCCGAGCTGGCACTCATGAGCTTCTTGTTACACAGGACCCTCCCTGCAAAGCGCAATGCAGCCAGAAGGGTGCAACGCCACGCAGCTAAATACGTCATGATAGACGAGCGGCTATACAAGAGATCCTACACGCTCCCCTACCTGCGTTGCTTGCGACCTACCGAAGCCGAGCTCGTACTCCGCGACAATGGAATACGGGGATGCCCTCGGCGGTACCATTGATACCAGAGGATGGCATCTCCGTCCAGATGCATTGCTGCCAATGCCACCCTATCTGGTCCAGATGTTTCGTTGTATTCAAAAAATTTTTCCGCCCTGTATATCCATGGGATGGGGTCTCCGCCTGAAAAAATTGGGAAGCTCAGTTTGGTGTTTCTTTCCAGGGTGGAGCTGCTTCTTCGGTTGCTTCCTTGGCTAACTCAATCTTGGTCAATTTCCCTGTCTTCAGTCGGCAGGCTCTGCTCCAATCTTTGCAAGACTTCTGTTAAAGTATCCTTGATACCTCGCATCTCGCCTGAAACTCGGTGGAGCTCGACTTCCACCTGATCAACTCGGGCCTCCATGGCTGTAGATCGCGTATTGGTCATGCTCTGATACCAATCTGTTAGGTGCTGCCTAACTCAGGGTTCGTAGAGTGAACCAAGCTCATGAGAGAAGAGGAAACTGAAGGGAAACAGGGAGAGGGGAAGAAAAGGGGATTCAGAGGGAGAGAGAGAGAGAGAGAGAAAGAGAGAGAGAGATTTGTTCGGATGGAATTCCTGCCTCTTTATTTCTTCTTCGGGTTTTTAAAGACAGGTTGTTTACAGTTGCAGTCTGTTACAAGATGGTTACAGCTTGTTGTAGGACTGTTATTCTGTTCTAACAGTCAGCCACTTGGACTACATTCTTGCTGACGTGGCTTCTCCCTTTTCTTGTAAACTTGGTATGCAGGCTGGCTATTCCCGTGCACAGGCCTTGGTTTGCCGCAGCTCTTGGTCTTATCACTGTCTATAGCAACTCTTGTGATTACCATTAAGTTACATTAAGTTAATGGGTTATTAAAATTGTTTTAGGAGTTAAAGTCCTTATTTAAGTATCCCTATGGGTTACATATAGGTTTGTCATAGTTTTAAAGCAATTAGCAGTTGTTTTCAGTTAATTTTTGAGTCCAAATTAGAGTCTGTAAAAGGAGATCCAACCCCTTATGTTGAGTCTATCCATAGTCGTTTTTTTTTTTTTGAGAACAGTATAGATGTAATTGAAATTTAGGAAAGTTTATTTAATGAATAAAAGTTTGGTTTAGTAAATTCTGATCGTTGCCAAGGTATTTTTCTCTTTTCCCTCTCTCATTTAATTTTTCTTCTAAGTGACTTGTCTCTTTGTTGTTTACTTTAACAAGAGTTACTTCTTTCTTCCTAATCTCCTGCTCATTCCTATGTGGTAAATCACTTACATAGTTCTCCACCTATATCCTTCATCCTTGATCACCCAAATAATCTTTCTTCACCCTACAAAGCCCACCACCAGAACTGAAATTTGTAGGACAACCTACCTGTTCTATGTCATTTGTGCACTTCTAAAAGAATACCCAAATAAGATGGTGAAACAAGCATCATGCCCAAATTTTTCAGACTATTTGCAGGCATAATTTGCATGACCAAAGAAAAAGCATCTCCCCAAAGCATAAGTTGCTGATAGAGATGCACAAAACAGGGAAAAAACAATGACAGTACCTACTTTGCAGGTATGGCATGCATGGAGGACCAAGTAATCAGTCCCACTTAGAACTTTCAACAATAAATTGGCCAACATAGTTGGAATCCCTTACAAGCTGGCATTTGATAGGCCTGAGCAACCAAGGCACCCTGGTTTGTAGGTGGATCCCGGCCGTTATAATGTGGGTAGTGTGGACAGAAAGGAACTCTGGGATCTATTCTAATACCAGCTCCCAACAGGATGAAATCTGTTGGAATGCCACTCACTGCCAAGATATCTTCATGGGCTAGAACTCACAATGTTTCTCTTGACAAGTTATTTTATGATCAACACACTTCTTTAATCTTTTGTTAAAACAGCAGAGATGTATAGCCATTCACTGTATGGGGAACTTTTCCCCTTTTACCTACAGTAATGCAATTCATTATACTTTGCCTTTCTTAAAAATATATATTAAGATAAAAAAAAATGGCAGTGAAGCCCCAACATGGATAACTTCTGCAAATGAAATTTCTTAGTAAGTCACCAAATGCCACATCCCAATGACCTGCATACATGCCATGTTATCACCTTGATACCTGAACATCCTGAGTGTACCCCTATTAGCATAATATGATACCAAGTTTAAAACCAATACCAATATGGGTAATGGAGGATACTTCTATCATGTGACTTTTTTTTGGTTAACATCGCAGGACTCTTTTTGAATTATACCATGTATCTTTCTCTTAACTCCAGACAATTTATTTATTTGTTTTGTCAATAAAATAAAAAAGATAATATCTATCAAAAAATAAAATAAAAAAGATAAGAAGCATAGATGGCACGTCTTAACAAAACTTGCTATAAAAAAATGCCAAAATAAGATACTATTATTAGAAGAGATAATTCAGAAAAAAAAGTGAAAGTAAAGGCATGCTATCAATGCAACGATCATATTCAAATCTGTTCATGTCTTGAATTTTCAGAAATGAAAGATATTCATCAAAAAATTTCAGAAATGAAGGAATGTATCTCAGTTTCCCATAGCAGCCCCTATTCATATGTGTTTTTAGGCATCTTAAAGAGCCACTTTCACAATACAGGTATGGTATTAGAGCTATTTCCCATCCTCCCATCTTGATTCGAGCAGAGAATTGTATCCCCATTTACTATATTAGTTACATATTGTGTTTCTCATGTCATGTGTTTATACTCCAAGTTGGAAATTATGTTCAAAGTTCATATCCAGAACTTCTAAAGCAACCAGGCATAACAGCAAACAACTTGGTACTCGGTAGGAAAAGTGACTGGCTTTCTCAATAAATTCAGGAATACTGTTTAAATCAAAGCCATCAGAAAATCCCTAAATTATATCCCAGTTAATATTATTAAGAGAAAACTTAAAAATGCATCTTAAATTGAAGAATGGGTTCCTTGCTATGAACTTGCCAGTTGCCACATAAAAAAAAAAAAGCATAACCATATTTCAATCAGAATTCATGAAAAAAAAAAAGATATAGTGCCACAACTTAAATCAGTGAACTTACTAACATTCAGATATAATTTATATTAGTTTTGTTTCCTCAACTTGTTGAACTTGAGCCATGTTTAGCTAGTTAAATTAAGCCTTGTCTTTTTTATCAGCAAATTAAATATTGTCGTTTTAAACCAAATGGTTTTCTACAAATCAGAAAATACCTCGGTTAGTGCTGTCATGGTCGCTAGTATAGAAGATTTCTTTTGGTACAAGTAAACCGACTAAACTACCTAGCTATTAATTTCTTGGCATCTTTTGGAGAAAAAAAGTACATAAAACCAGGTCCTCTGTCTCATTTAATTAGTTCTTGAATGGACTCGTGCACTACACCATTTGCGAGGATCATACCCCATTATCATCCAAACAGCAAGGGCAATAAAATTCGGTTCCCAACCCTCAAATCCGGAACCATTATAGCATATATATATAAATAAAAGACATCAAAAACAAAAACGAAAAACCTCAAGATGATGCTGCCCCTTCGTTTACATGTATCGTCATTTTCAAATTTCGTGAGTCAGAATAATAACAAAATGCGTCATTACGAACTTTTTCTAATAAATAAAAAAAAAAATGGTACAGGCAATAGGCATGGAACAGTTCTCCACCATTTGCAACCCATAGAAATCCCAAAACAACCCCATAACCTCTACTTTACACCGATCACGATCCAAAGCCCCTAAACTCATACACCCAGATGACAAAACCATAAGTACGTCCAGAAAGAAAAAATTGAATCAAATCTCAAAATTGATCTAACAAGGGACCCATATACACTACAGATCATCAACATCTAGGGCAGCCTCAGCCAAGATTCAAAGACACAGTCACATAAATGTGTGTGGGTCCAATTCCAAAGACGAAATCCTTAATCAAGTAAACACATCTGAAAAGACAATCAAAATCGAGAAACACTCCAAATGCGTTAATTAGGAGTTTTCGCCCCCTATTTTTCCATTGGTTCCTTTTTTTTTAGAGGAAAGGGCGGGAGGTAACTGGTAAGCACAAGCTTGACTGTGCAATGTTACATACACGACATACGACATGTCTATGCACGCAGCCACGCACACACACACTAGAAAATGCGGGAAAATGAGGGTAAATCATAAATGTACCTTTAAAAGGATGGCAGGGGAAGAACTTGGACGAACATCTCCTTTGGGCTTTGTCCATCCATGACCATGATCCATGAACGTTGGTCAGTGAAATTGGTGGTTTTATGATAATCCTCCCCAGTAAGGGCAACTGGGCAAGGGATGGCACAAATTACCAGTTTTTGTTTCAGGTGTCTAGGACGGGGTACAGGCGGGCGCAAGGTGACTTTACAAAGGGTTGGTTTCTCGCTTTTTTTTTTTTTTTTTGTTGAATTGCTAATTTGCTACTTGCTAGAGATCCAGATATCTGTTTCGGCCCCTGTTCTAATTTATAAAGTCGGGTCTTACTTTATAAACAACTAATCTTCATACGTGATTTCTAATTTTCCGGATGTTGGATCTTATACCCGCCCATTTTGCCATCTCTACCCAAAAGTTGCCGTTTTCGGTTTTCCCTTTCATATTCTTTGTTTTGTATATTGAACATTTTCCTTTCGGCTCAGTTTGGAAGAAATATAAATATAGGTATATACAGTATAAATATATATATAATAATATAAAATACAAAATTGTGTAGTTTTACTTTTTCTTGTATTTACCTTTGTTTTCAGAAAAAAATTAATTAAAAAAAAAAACGAACGAGTAACTCCTAGCCATACGAGTTCGATACTTCGATGAAACTTGTGGCTTAAAGCTACAAAAAGATGATTATTCCACACGCTAACGCTACCAGGGATTGAGCCCAACCCGTGTGGGCCGTGTGGCTAGCAGAGACAGCGAGCGACAGAGCTGGCAGCCACATTGATGAACAAATTATCGTTGTCATTCCAAGCGACAAACCGAATTGAGCAAGTTTACCCGTGTGGTGGCAGCGTTTCAGTGTCTGTCCGGTTATTAAAAGATTTGAATATATCCTAATTTTTTTAAATCGACTAGTTTTTCATACTGGACCTAAACATACCTTATTGGGTTGCCCCAATGGACATAAACGTACCCTCCCACGGTAAAACGTTTAGATCCATCAACATTAACCTCATATGACCCATCTGAATTTTTAAAAACCCTATTTTGCCCTTTAAAATGCTTATGTTTTGCACTTATTCGAGAAAATTGTGCAAAAGAAAATAGACATGTCACCATGGAGGCATGAACAATGCACAAAATTCATACCTGTGCTCGGAGTATTCTATGGGATCAAATGTAGGTGCCAAAGTAATAGTCCTTGACTGATCTCGAACTCATGCTCATAAGGAGTCCGGATCTCCTGCCCATGAGAATTTTGCCCATGTTTATCTCAACCATATATGGAGAACATCTCATCCTCTGCATAATATTATGCAGGGGGAAATGTTCCCAATTCACAAGAGATTGTATTGTAAGTAAGCATGGGCAGAATTCTCGTGAACAAAAAATCCCGTGTCACTCATAAGACCATCCCAAGTTAAAAGTGAAGATTCAGAGGGAACTTTAAACAATGAATGGCATCATTCTGGATGAACAAACCTTAGAGTGTGACTTACAAATAGCTATCCAGGAGGAGGACTATGCCCAAACAACAAAAATAAGAGATGGCCTTCGGCTTCTCCACGAGGATAGCAAGGCTTCAGTTTCTAGCGGTAAATGCACGATTCTGCAATTCCTTTAGAATTGGAGATCTGGCTATAATGCATAATGCAATCCCTCTAGGAAAGAGGGGAACATGTCTATTGTGTGCACCCAGTGACTGAAACATTTGGTTATTATCTTGTCGGGAATTGTGAATTTGTGTGGGCAAAATATGAACTCCCACTTGAGATAGAGCTGAAAAATGTTTTCAAGTTAATCGGGAATATGCTCCGAGTAGTTAAATAGCAATTGGGGGAAGGGGCAGCTTGCTTTTGAGCTCTTTTATTTGTTTCAAGTTTTGACTACATTTGGTTTTCATTAAGTTGCATTCTAAGCTCTCTTCTGTTGTTCAATGTTTAATTATTTATTTAAATTTTACATTTATATGTATTCTGTTGCCTAAAAGAGGAGCTGAGGAAGTAGGAGGGGTTGAATGGAGTTGAAAGTGGGGTTTTGATTTCTCTTTAGTTTTGTTTTATCATTGGTTTTCTTTGAAATTTTAAAGCATTATGAAGGGCATAATAGTCTTTTCATTGATTGTGTAAAATTTAATAATCACAAGGTATGTTTAAGTCCAACTAAAAACCCACTTCTCAAACCTTGGGTTATGTTTAAGTCTTTTACCCTTTACTTTATTATCATTAATAAAACTCTACCATTAAATGTAAAATCACATTAGGAAAAGGATATTTTAATTTAATTTCCAAAAAAACAAGAGTTGTCATCACAACCAAATTTTTGTTAATATATAATATGGGATCCAGACATGAAATGATTAACTATTAATTGTATGACGGTGTTTAGTTCGCGTCTTAATGGAATATGATTCAACTCGATCTATTCAGTTTGACAGTTTTATTTTTCGAAGCACAAGCACCTAAGCACGTTTATAGATGATGCATTTTAAGACACATTTTGCTTGTCATAATTTGCAAGTTTTTTCTTTTTTTTATTTTTTTGGTGGGGGGGCGGTGGGTATTCGGTGTCATGCACCACTAGACCTGTTCATGGGCCAGGTGGCCCGACTCCCAGATGGGCTTGAACATGCTTATAGGCCTGTGGGCTTAAATTCAGGCCAAAAAGCCCGGCCTGCAATAAATTCGAACCGGGCTCGGGTTTTGTCAAAATAGTCCGGCCTGACCTAATATTAAACTTAAAATTAGTTATGTGATTATGTCTATTTGAATAAATTTTTTGATTTAAAAATGTAAAATTGTGTTTTAAAATATAAAAGAAAGGGAAAAATACCATAGTGTAGGCCCATTGTTCATTTAAATAGAAAAAAAATACTATCTGAACTTTTAATTCTAATTTGAATAGGGAAAATAGTTTTTTTTTTTCAATTAGGTCGGGCTTCGGGCTCGGGCTCAGGTTTCGGGCTTTTTACTAGGGCAGGGCTCGGGCCCAAGTTATAAGCCCATTGGTCGGGCCGGGCTCGGGCCTAGTATATTTTCATTATTGACAAATGAAAACCCGTCCCGGCCCATGAATAGGTCTATGCACCACTAGTAACCCCCTTTTCCCCAAATTGGTAGTTGTAGGAATCGATTTTATGCCAATGCTGAAACGAGCCAACTAATATACCAATGAACCATTTCTCCGTTGGTATTTGCTAATAGATCCGCAATTTGCTTGGCCTCCATGGACATGGGTATATTTTAATTGGGAGTGGCAATATATTTTAATTAGGAATGGCAACGGAACGGGGGGTGGGGCTAGGTTTTGCATGATTTGTCTCTGACTCTAAACTCAAATACTCCGCCCAAATCTCATTAGGGCTAGAAATCTCAACCCCATCCTTGCTAGTTAGAAATGGGGATCCCTAAATTGTCTCATTCCGCCTTAATCATTCTTACTTACCATTTTTTTTTTTTTGAGATCAGCATGAAAGTATATTATAATATCTAATGTACATTATAATAAAATATTCAAAGTTGAGGCGAGGGTGATGTGGACAAATACCATCCCCACCCCATCCTTGATCCCTAGAGTGTTATGTTTCCCGGAAACCCACCCTAACCCCTGATCAATGGTTAAAAAAACACACTCTAACCAAAGTGGAACCCCACAAGGACAGGTCAAATTGCCAACTCTAATTTTAACCTAACACATATAAAGGGAGCTCGTTAATCATAGTAAGTTGGTTTAGAGACGGGTGCATGTGATGTCCACTAACATTAGTGAGGGTATACAATTAATGGGTTCGAATCTCTACTTCCATTTTCAAAGCAACACTAATTTTACCCATTTGTCGGTTATGGCAATTGATTATGAGCTAAGGTTACTAAAATTAGTTTAATGGAATACTCCCGGGTGAAATAGTGTATTCAAAGTTGCTCTTAAGGGTCAATTACAAATAAGTAACCTATACTTTGGGGCTAGTAAGACATAAGGGATTGAAGAAATGTACATACAAGTCCAACGCCGTTAACTAACATCGTGGTGGGTGGAAAAAAATAAAACAAATTACAGAGACTTTTCTTTGTTGGGGATGAATCCAAAACAAAGAACAACCTAAGTTCTTTAAGTCCAAAATTAGTCCAAGCCCCCACCCCCTAATGACTTTATGTAAATACATCCAGCACTCGCAGAGTTTTTAAGAATCATAGAAAATTTTAAGAACAAAAAAGAAAACAAAAATGATCACATAAAGTACATCGATGATGGTTCCTAGATATAGTTGATTCTCGAAAAAATACACAAGTATGCTACAATAGTTATCTAAACTTACTTCAAACTCTTAAACTTGGTATCATTGTTTTCAAGATTGAACTGGATCCTACGGTTGCACCGGAAAAATCGAGGTGACCGGTTCCATTTTACCCCAGAACCGTTATTTCGCTATAAACCATTGATTTGGTCAACAAATCGTTGACTCATGCGGTCAAATTATTTGAACAGTCCAACGGTTTTGGCTGTTTTTATTTTTTTTATTTTTTTATTTTGTTTGTCAGAATGAGTTGTACATTCAGTTCAAATGGTTGAACCATTCAACCCAAGAACCAGACCTTAACCAGTTCAGTTTTAAAAACATTGCTTGATATGTTAAAAACCTAATTATGAGTATCATATGTCCCATGAACTTTCCTCATTAGGATGGAAAAGAAACTCTATAGCATGTGTTCTGTACATTTTAGTACGAAATTTCAATCAGGCTCTTACTTATTTGGACATTTTAGTACGAAAATAAATATGGTTGGAGCCTTGGAGGTGAATCAGTTGCAGTTGTTAGTGCTTTTTTTGTTATTGCTTTCTATGTAAGCTTCCTTCCCTCGGATTGTTGTAGTTCCCTTTTCAACATAATCAACTTTGACTACTGGAAACTTTTTTGTGGAAGTTTATTAGATCCCATGTTTTCTTGGGAAATTTTCTTTGTGTACCATAGTTTTAATCCAGATTTCCATCTTTTAATCTAGTAACTATCTTGCTTCCAAGCATCAAGGACTTTAAACACCAAAGAAATAGATTTTGGTTAGATTTCAATATGTGGTTACAACAAGTTTCTTTACCTTATTTATTAGTAGGGGATTTGAATGAAACTGCCTCAGTGGATTCGTTAGAACCTTCTACCTCTTCTAATGCTTCCGCTTTATCTTCTAGGCAATACAGAAACCTTATCCTTGACCAAAACTTGTTAGAGATGAGCATTCAAGGAGGCGGAATATCCTAGACTAATAAAAAAAGCTCGGGTCAT